CTAAATAAATGGAAAGTCATCCTGTTTCAGTAAATTGAACATTTAATATTGTTAAGATGGCCATAATCCCCAAGGCAATATAGAGATTCAATACAACCCCTATCAAAATCTCAGTGACTTGTTTTGCAGAAATGTTAAAGCCAATCCTAAATGCATGTGGAACTGCAAGGGACACAGACAGCCAAAACAATCCGGAAAAAGAAGAACAAAGTTGGAGGACCCACACTTCCCAATTTCCAAGCAATCCCCAAAACGGCATAATGGTGGCATAACGGTCGACATGTAGGTCAATGTTTTGGAATTTAGAGTCAGAAATAAATTCACAGATTTATGAATAGCTGATATTGAACAAGGGTGGTCGGGCCATTCAATGTAGGAATGAGCAATCTCTTCAAGGAATGGTGCTGGGAAAACTGAATATCCACAGACAAAGAAGGTGGAGTCCAGTCTGAAACCGTGTCTGAAAATGAACTCCAAAACTGGATCACAATCCTAAATGTGAGCAAGGAAACTATGAAACCCTTGGAACAAACCATAGATGTAAATCCTGGTGGATTTGATTATGCAACGGTTCCTTAAATATGGCAGCCAAAGTAAAGCGACAAAAAAAAGGGAGGAGAAGAGGAAGGAGGAGGAGGAGGAGGAGGACCTGTGTAGAAAGTGAAAGGCCAACCTCCCCCTCCCCAGGATGGGGGAAGCATTTGCAAATCATACATGTGATACGGGCGTATTTTTCAGAATGCATAAAGGATGCTTGGAACTCAACAACAAAGAGGTGAACGACCCAGTTAAACAACGGGCCAAGGACTTGAGCAGACATTCCTCCGAAGCGCATGTACACATGGCCAAGAGGCACACGAAAAGCTGCTCAACATCGTTAGCCATTAGGGACACGCAAATCAAAACCACCAGGAGGGGCGCCTGGGTGGCTGAGTCGGTTGAACGTTTGGACTCTGGACCTCGGCTCAGGTCATGCGTGATCTCAGGGTTGTGAGATCCAGCCCCACGTCAGGCTCCACAGTGGGTTCTGCACCGGGCATGGAGCCTGCTTAAGATTCTCTCTCTCTCTCTCTCTCTCTCCCCCCTCCCGCCCCCCCATCTCCCTCTCCCCCTCCCCCCGTCTCCCTCTCTAAGAAAGAGAAAAAGTCGCCATGAGATAGCACTTCACACCCAGTAGGCTGGCCTCTTCTAGGCACAAGAGAAACAAAACAAGTGGAAAATGACAAATTTGGGCGAGGGTGTGGAAGAACTGGGACCCTCGCACAGTGCTACTGGGACTGGAAAGTGGTACAGCTGCCGTGGGAATCCGTTGGGCAGCTCCTCAGTAAGTTACACATAGAATGACCATAGGAAGGACCCCGCAATCCCACTCCTAGATCTATACCCGAAGGCATTGGAAAGGGTGCTCCAACAGATCCCTGTACGGGAACGTCCACCGCAGCGCTCTTCCTTCCCATCTGCCCCAAGGTGAAGGTGGAAAGCACCGCAAGGCCTGTCCACTGACGCACGGGAGGCACAACACGTGGTCTATCCATGCCGTGGGATATTATTCGGCCATCCATCAAAAGACACGAAGTGCTGATTCAGGCTACCAGGTGGAGGAACCCTCATGAAAACACGGGTGCTAAGTGAAAGCAGCCCGACCCCAAAAGCCACCGATTGGTCTTACGATCCCATCTCTAGGTAAGTCTCCCGAAGAGGCAAACCTCTGTGGAGCGGAAGCACATGAGGGGTTGCCTGGGGGCTACGGGGGAGGTGGGGAGGGACGGAGGTGCTGTGGGGCGGGGGGGAGGGGGGGGAGTGACTACCTGACAGGTACAGGGGTCTCTTTTTGGGAGTGGTGCCCACGTTTTGGAACTAGAGAGTCGTGTTGGTCGCCCGACACCTCGAGTGTCTGCTTGGTACCACCGGGCCCTCCACGTCTGTTTTTTGTTTTTTTGTTTTTCTTTTCTGTACAATGTCCCCGTGGGGCGGAAAGTGAGCATTCCCCTCAAAGAGAGGTTGCGGGGGGGGGGGGCGGGTGAGCAGGCTCCTGCCGGTGCCGGTTCTCGGCAGGCCCAGGCTCCCAGCAGGGGCCGATGGGAAAGCAGTGACCTCACCGGATCTACGTGTCACGAAGTGTGTCCCCGGACCAATGAAAGGGGTCGGTCCGTGATCGCTAGGAGACGGCGGCGTCGGGGCCCGAGTACCCGCCGGTTGGAGAAGTTGGGCCCAGCTGGCGCACCGCACCGCACCGCACCGCACCGCACCGCACCGCACCGCCGAGCTAGGCCCGTCGGAGAAAGCGCAGTTCAAGGCCCAGCATGCCGGGGAAAAGGAGCCGTCGAGCGTCGTCCAGTGGCCGGAGGCGGACCCGCTCCCGCACTGCCCGAGCCGAGCTGTCGTTCTCCGTGAGCCTCATGGAGCGTCTCCTGAGAGAGGGCCACTACGCCCGGCGCCTGGGCTCGTCCGCACCGGTCTTCCTAGCGGCCGTCATCCAGTACCTGACGGCCATGGTCCTGGAGCTGGCAGGCAACGAGGCCCAGAACAGCGGCAGGAGCCGCATCACCCCGGAGCTCGTGGACATGGCCATCCACAACAACGCGCTGCTCAGCGGCTTCCTCGGGACTACGACCATCTCCCAGGTGGCCCCGGACTGGGACTAGCTGCCCAACGTGACCCGGGTTCTCGGGCCTCGGCCGGCCAGTCAGGCCTGCTCACCGCCCGGGCAGCCCCGGCCTGGCTGGTGCCTTGGGCAAAGTCCTGGACAGTCCAGAAAAGTGGGGCAAGGAACCCACGTGTCGAAGCAATAAAAACGAACGAAAGAAAGAACCCCATGTGTGTGCTTCAGTCGCTTTGTGTGGGACGTCGTTGGGGGACGTCCCTCTCCCTGGAGGGACCGGGCGGGGGTCGCGGGTGGTGGCGGCGTCTGGCTGCCGTGCAGAGAGGGGTCGGAGTCGGGGAGGACAGAGTTTCTCTCGGGGACAGTGCAGGGGGTGGCCCTGGGTGGGAGAGGCTGGCCGCGTTGCGGGGCGGGGAGGGGTCGGAGGCGGTGTCTGGCTGCGGGGCGGGGAGGGGTCCGACTCGCGGAGGACAGAGAAGAGCCGTTTCTCTCGGGGACTGTGCAGGGGGTGGCCCCGGGTGGGAGAGGCTGGCTGCGGTGGGGAGGGGGGTGAGGCTGGGGCACAGAAGACAACCCCCCCTTCCCCCCCCCCGCCCCCCGCATTGGCTCTGAGCAAGTCAGAGCCCGGGACGGCCCCGGGAAGGATGGTGTTCCTTGGGCTGGAGCTCAAAGACCATGTGACCGCGCCGTCGTGAAGGGGCGAACGTGCAGTGGCAACCCGGGTGCGGGACCGAGGGGTGGACAGACCTGTTGGCCTGGGCTCTAGTGGGGCAGGGGCTTTGACTGGAAGGTTGAGGACGGACGGGGTGGCGGGGGGGGGGTGGTTGGCAAACAAGAAACATGCAAACTTGGCCTTAGGGCCACGCGGGATCGCGAGTTGAGTTTTCCTCGGGTTCCGGTTACAGACGCTAGGAGACGCCTGTAGCGGCAACCTGGGTAACCCGAGTACTGGGCTGTCAATTTCAAACATCATGGACCTGAAAGACAACCATCTGTTCTTCTACTTTCTGCTTCCTGGTATGTAGAGAAGCTGTTCCCATGTTATAGATGGAAGGAAAGCTAAACCACAAGTTATGGGGCATCAGAATGGCTTTATTATGGACTTAGGGCTGTAGCCACAATGGTGTATGTAATCAAATCATTCCCACGAATATGTATGGGGCGGATGAAACAAAGGAGAACTTGGGTGGTCACATGG